CTGTTTTTTCTTTTTTTCACCTGTACCTTTGGTGTCAATCCAAGAAATCATTGCCAGAGATACAGTTTTTATAGCAGCGACCACATGGCTTCTGATTTAAGATTCTTAGAGGTGGCCCTAATTGCTATCTGGCTGTCATACCCTACTTCTCTACTCTTTACATCTGCTGAAGATGTCATGGGTCCATCTTTTCAGTACATTGATCAGTGGGAACAAAGCACCTGAGTGGTGGGCTTTTGTCCCTTAGCTGGTCTAGGGACACGCAGAGATCAGAGTTGAGCCAGGTTGTGCCTGCTTCTGTGGAAATGGCCTAGGGGACTGACTGATCATTCAATCCTGGGACCAGTTGCCAGGTGGATTCCCATGGTAGTCTCTGTGGCATCTGATTGTTTAATATTCACTCTCTCGGTTGCTTCTCAGAAATGCCTTGTGATATAGACACAGGAAGGCTTTTTAAAACATTTATTTAAACCGGGCTCGGTGGCTCAGCCTGTAATCCCGCGCCTTTGGGAGGCTGAGGTGAATGGATTGCCTGAGCCCGCGGGTTCGAGACCTGCCTGGGCAGCGAGACCTCATCTCTACAATAAATCAAAAAATTAGCCGGGCGTGGTAGCACATGCCTGTAACTCCAGCTACTCGGAAGGCTGAGGTGGAAGGATCGCCGGAGCCCAGCAGGTCAAGGCTGCGGTGGCCGAGAGCGGCCACTGCACTCCAGTCTGGACGACCGAGTGAGACTCCAACTCAAAAACAAACAAAAAAACATTTATTTAGTTTTGAGACAAGCGTCTTCCTATGCTGCCCAGGCTGATCTTGAACTCCTGGACTCGAGCAGTCCTCTTACCTCAGCCTCCTGAGTAGCTGGTGTTATGGGCCTATACCACTGTACCTGGCATGGTGGGAGTTTTTAAAGATGGGTGGTTTTCTGAATACAGGAATAAATCCTTGACAAAGCCCAAGAAAGTTTCTTATTTTTTCTTTACACTGTTATCTCTGCTGAGTTCTCCCCAGTTGCAGGTGAGGACACTGGCTTAGTGAGTGGCAGAGCTAGGCCTCAGACTAAGCTCTCTGGCCCCAAATTGCTCCTTTCACTGTGTTATACTAGAAATTCACAGCCCTTAACTGGGGTCTGTCCAGGCTGAAGAACTTTTCTTTAATATAATATTTTTCCCCAGCTTTATTGGTTTTGAATTGAAAGTGACAAATACCCATAATTCATTCACATACATTTATCAAACATGTATTCCCTGTCAGGCAGTGTGCTGTTGCCCCTAGGAGGTAACTCACTAGAGTGGGAAATAGTTTAGTGAATAACTAATCTTCTGTATGAGTAGTGTTATCTCTAATAGAGGTGGGCACCAATTTGGGAAGGCTTGAATTTCCTTCCAGTTGCAGATCCCTGATTTTTTTTTTTTTCATTTGTTTAAGAGTTCGGGGCAATACTTATTTTTTTAAAAAAGTATTGACTCTAAAACATTTATGTAACATTTCCGGTTCTGAAAAACATAATCACTGAAGATTGTTTTTAATCTTGTAGGACATTGTACTGATTTTCCACAACTTTAGTTGGCTAGATTGATTCATATTGACTTGGGCAGCTCTAAATGTTCTTGGCATCAGATCTGTCAACCCATATACATTTATGAGATGCCTGGCCCTGTGCTGAGTAAGGCACTTGGAAGCTGGGTCTGAGCTTGAGGAAACAAGAACATATCACTGAGGTGCCATCTGTTAAGCACATTGGCTTGGGGTTAGGAAGCTTTGCTTCTGACTGGTTCAGTGACCATGTCAAGTGACCCGACTACTCTGAACCTTAATTTAACATCCCAAGGGATGCCGATGTGGATACAGTAGTGTTTACCTCAAGGCAGACTGTAAGGATTAAATGAGATAATTCATGTAAAGGGCCGAGCAGAGTTTTAACTGATGCTATTCATAGTGATAAGAAATATAAGCTAGGCATGGTGGCTCACGCCTATAATCCCAGCACTTTGGAAGGCCAAAGTGAGAGGATTGTCTGAGCCCATGGGTTCAAGACCAGACTGGGCAACTTGGTAAGACCTCATCTCTACAATAAATAAAAAATTAGCCGGGCATGGTGGCATGTGCCTGTAGTTCCAGCTACTTAGAAAGGCTAAGATGGAAGGATCACCTGAGTCCAGCAGGTTGAGGCTGCAGTGGCTGTGAGCATGCCACTGCACTCTAGCCTGGGCAACAGAGTGAGATTCCAACTTAAAAAGAAAAGAAAAAGAAATATAGCAAGTGACCCTTGATTTTAACACTTTTGGGGAAAATATGACATTATTTGGGTCAAACTGTCACATTCTAGATTTCCTCTCAGCACATAAACATATACAGTTTTGATGTCTCATCTACTCTTCCTTCAAGGAATGATGCTTATTCAAAAAGGGAAGTGACTCATTCATTTAGCAGATTAACCAAGTACTTGCTGATTGCACGGTTATAAGGCGAATATAAAGAAGCAGTATACCTTAAGTTTACAAGGGAAGGGGGTTAACATTTCTTATCTATGTGCCAGGTACTGTGCTAGCCCCTTACTGTTTTATCTCTTTAATTCTTACAACCATCTTGTGAGGAAGGTAATAGCCCCGTTTTCACAGATGAGTAGAACAAAGGCTCAGAGAGAAAATAACTTGTCTGAAGTCACAGAATAAGTGACAGAACTGAAATTTGAACATAGAACCCTCAGATTCCTGTGTCACGCTAGTTTTAAAGAAAACAGTTAAAGAACATCTTAAGACAGTGATATAAGGGATGACAAAAGGCAGTGTCTTGGATAACCCTTAAAAGTTTGTGCCAGTGTAGTCCAGATCCCATTCCATCTCTTTTTAAATGAGATCTGGTAATTTTTAGAAAAATAATTGAAACTTAAATCCCAACAAATAAAATACCCTTTGGATTCAGAAATAGTGGAAGAAAATGTGAAAAAGCATAAACACCTAATACTAGAATCCCCACTCAAATATGTATTGTCGTTGGAAATTGTATCTCTAGGGCCTGACACAATGTGTGGAACATAATGGATCTTAACAGCTAATTAGTGAGTGAATTAGTGAATTTAAACAGCCTTCCCATGTTGCCAGAATGTTATCTATCATGTAGATGTGCTAGTTTGCTTATCCAGGGAATGGGAGCTTGAAGGGGAGAGAAAGAGATGTAAAAATCATGGATCCCTTTGGAAGGTTAAGCAGATCTGGGTTGTAACCTAGTAGGGAGTGAGAGCTAGGCAGGCTAGGGCAGAAGGACACTAGAAATCTAAGGCTTTTCTTTTTGCCTCAGCCCAGAACCTTGCCGCCTTATGATACCTGTATGTGCCCGGTCTCCAGGTACACTGAACTTAGCATAGTGAATTGTCTACTTGTCCAGTGTGCTGTGCCTACCTTCTCCCTAGAATCTCCTGCCCTCAGATACTGTATACACACTTCTGTTGGTGCCTAGTACACTGGGTTGCCTTGTTGGTTTACTTGTCTGTGTTCCCTCTAGACTGACACATTTTATCTGTGTATCCTGGAAGCCTGGCAAATGATAGGATCTTTAAGAAATCTTTGACTATAGGAATGGAATTGATTAAGTAGATAGGGAGATTAGAGGGTACCAGAGCAAAGGACTAGTGTAGCCCCAAGGAAGATAAGCCAGTCCTCTCAGCCTTCTCTTGTCCCTCTGGCTCTGAAAGGCCATTTAAGCCCTTAGTCCCATATTTGAGGACCAGGTGTCTGTGGGTTACCCTAGGGACCTAGACACCATTTAGACTCTAAAATTTTAGAGCTAATTTCTGTGTGTTCCAAGTTCTAATCAGCTTACTCAGTTTTTCTTCCACTCCAACCTTCTGTGAGTGTGACATAGACATTCTTGGAATGCAAGTCCAGTCTCTGCCTATGTGTGGTCTGGCAGCAGTCTAATGAGCAGCACAGATAGGCATGCCAAGGCTCCTGGCAGAAAGCTTCCGTATGAATAAGCATATGCCTACAGGAACAAGAACCCTGCTGGAATCAGGCCAGATATTTATCACCAAAATATGTAATCCTTATAAGTAAGATGAACATTTCTAGGTGCCTCTGTATACCTTGGTCCAAGAATTCTTAGAGTTAAAGAGACAGAGAAAGCAAGCATATCATGAACTACAGCTCTCTCGTATGTGAGAACTGAACATAAGAATGCTACCAAGAAATTTCTTCATGAGGTTGAGTTCCCTGGTGGTTCCTGCAGGAATACTCAGTTCTTACGTTCTCTCACTTCCTGTGAGGGTGGGTCAGGGCAAGGGAACCAAAGGCCAACCCTGGGAAAGTATTAATAATAGGAGTGAGGATGTTGGGTCAGTCAACTTCAGCTGCCAGGCTCTGCATTCCTAAGGGATCATTAAATACTGCAAATCTGCCTTAGTCCCAGCATCATATATGTCGCTATGGCTATCTCAAAGTTAGGAATGCCTTTTTCTTTTTTTTTTTTTTGAGGTGAAGTCTCACTCTGTCACCCAGGCTGGAGTGCAGTGGCACGCTCATGATCACCACAGCCTTGACCTGCTGGGCTCAGGCGATCCTTCTACCTCAGCCTTCCAAGTAGCTGGAACTACAGGCACGCGCCACCATGCCTAGCTAGTTTTTTGATTTATTGTAGAGATGCGGTCTCACCAAGTTGTCCAGGCTGGTCTTGAACCCATGGGCTCAGGCAGCTCTCTCACCTTGGTCTCCCAAAGTGCTGGGATTGTAGGTGTGAACCACACACACCCAGCCCTTTCTTCTACATTTTATTTTATTTTTATTTATTTATTTTTTTGAGTTGGAGTCTCACTCTGTCACCCAGACTGGAGTGCAGTAGTTGCTCCCGGCCACTGCAGCCTCGACCTGCTGGGCTCTGGCGATCCTTCCACCTCAGCCTTCCACCTCAGCCTTCCAAGTAGCTGGAACTATAGGCACATGCTACCACGCCTGGCTAATTTTTGATTTATTGTAGAGATGAGGTCTCGCCAAGTTGCCCAGGTGGGTCTCAAACCCGTGGGTTCAGGCAATCCACTCACCTCGGCCTCCCAAAGTGCTAGGATTACAGGCTGAGCCACCGAGCCTGGCCTCTTCTACATTTTAAAAGGCATTTCCTAAGACTTTAAAATTCATTATTATAACAAATGCAATATATTTACATTTTATAACTTCCTTTATTTTTTGAGTAGGAGTCTTACTCTGTCACCCATGCTAGAGTGCAGTAACATGCTCACAGTCATTGCAGCCTCGGCCTGCTGGTCTCAGGCAATCCTTCGACTTCAACCTTCCAAGTAGCTAGGACTACAGGTGTGCACCATCATGACTGACTGATTTTTAAAAATTCTTTGTAGAGACGAGATCTCGCCAAGTTGCCTAGGCTGGTCTCGAACCCCTGGACTCAGGCATTCCTCTCACTTTTGCCTCTCAAAGGGCTAGAATTAAAGGCGTGAGCCACCACACCAGACTTACAATTTCCTTTTTTAAAATGTTATTGTAGGCCAGATACCACAGTGGCTTACACCTGTAATCCCAGGTTTTTGGGAGGCTAGCACAGGAGGATTACTTGAGGCTAGGAGTTTGAGACCAGTCTGGGCATCTTAGTGAGATACTATCTCTACAAGAAATACAAAAATTAGCTGAGAGTGGTGGTGTGAGCCTGTAGTCCCAGCTACTCAGGAGGCAGAGGCAGGAGAATCACTTGAGCCCAGGAGTTCGAGGCTGTAGTGAGCCAACATTGTACCACTGCACTCCAGCCTGGGCAACAGAGTGTGGCCCTGTCTCAACAAAAATAAAAATGTTATTGTAAAAGGAGTACTTGTTACAAAACACTAAAACAGGATAAGAACATAAAAATTCAAAGTCCCCTAACTCTTATTATCCCAGAAATAACTGTTGGTGGTTTGGTGTGTATCTTCTAGGCATTTTCTTTGTATGTGTGTACCTGGGTGTATCATATACATGTATATTTACTTACATACTTTGTTTTATTGCTCTTCAGTAACCTAACCTTTTTTTTTTTTTTGAGTTGGAGTCTCTGTCGCCCAGGCTGGAGCACAGTGGCACAATCATAGTTCACTGCAGCCTTGAACTCCTGGGCTCAAGTGATCAAATGATCCTCCCTCCTCAGCCTCCTGAGTAGCTGAGACTACAGGCAAGTGCCACCGCACTTGGCTAATTTTTAAAAATTGTTTTGTACAAGTGGGGTCTTGCTGTGTTTCACAGGCTGGTCTTGAACTCCTGGCCTCAAGTGATCCTCCCACCTTGGTCTCCCAAAGTGCTGGGATTACAGGTATGAGCCATCATGCCGAGCCTTTTTTTAAAACGTTGTGTGAATTTATTATTATTATTGAAGCAGAGTCTTGCTATGTTGCCCAGGCCGGTCTTGAACCCCCAGCCTCAATCACTCTGCTTACCTCAGCCTCCCAAAGAACTGAGATTACAGATGTGACCACCATGCCACGCCTATTCTTTCATCAATATGTGTCTCTAGCAGATGAGATTTTGTTTTTAAAAAGTTACACCTGTAACCCCAGCACTTTGGGAAGCCAAGGTGAGGGGATTGCCTGAGCCCATGGGTTTGAGAACAGCCTGGGCAATTTGGTGAGACCTCATCTCTACAATAAATAGATAGATAGATAGATAGATAGATAGATAGATAGATAGATAGATCGAATTAGCGTGGTACAGGGTGTGGTAGCACATGCTTGTAGTTCCTGCTACTTGGAAGGCTGAGGTGGAAGGATCACCGGGACCCAGGAGGTTGACGCTGGGGTGACAGTGAGTGTGCCACTGCCTGGGCAACAGA